AGGAAAAATTGTGAAACATCAGAACATCCAAAATTCTGCTGTATAACATTGGGCGTGTACTTATTTGTGCGAGTGATACAAACCCAAAAAGGGAAATTAGATCGTAAAATGTGATTATCCGGATCAGCCCGACACGTGAGCGAAGAGAAAAAAAGCTAAAATACAAGAAAACGAGTGTTTAAATCTATCTTGGAACACTAATTAAAAATGACGGGAATGAAATTTTACGTCGAGAAAGTGATTATTTATTCTTATCTCCTCTAACTTTGACTTCCTAACCCTAAAATTTTAATTTCACGAACTAGGTTTATTTTTACACCGAGTTTCCTTTTTTGGGTTTGTATCACTCGCACAAATAAGAGGGTTAGGAGTGCGGTAATTTCAGCAGGGTGGGATACTTCTCTTTGAACCATTATATCATGAGTGAAAACCAAGTCATTTTAGACGAACAACTTGAAAAACTTGATGATGGTCTTAAAGTTTTGTCTAAGAACCTTCGGCTTGCCTGTTCATCCCTTCGTAGTATCTGTGTTGACAATACTGTATTTCTTGAAGGATTCGTCAATTTTCGTCGCAAAGTTCTAAAATATGCCTTCGTTTACAGTAAAGTGATTTTTCCTTATATAAAAGAAATGGCTTCGGAAATTCAAAATTATATGGAAAACTATGCAGTATTATCTTTTGAAGAGTTTCGAGATGATATTAATTTTTTGGCTGAAGATATTAGTGAAAAAAGAAAATTATTTGTAACTACACTGGCGTTCCATGTTGCCATTCAAGAAGATTTCGAGCGTGAAAAGAATGAAGCAGATAATATCCTCAAAAAACTTGAAAACGAGACACCGCTTTCTATTGAAAGACTGATGAAATTGGTGGAATCTCTCATAATGTCAATCCAACACTTTGTTAATGCTTTAAAATCTATTGCACAATCTTTTATTACTTTAGAAGATGAATTAAAAAATATTATCGACCACTATGAAAGAGAAAATGATTATTCTAATTATTATAACAAATGCAGAGGAAAGGCAAAATCTATTATTGATAACTGCTTGGTTTTCTTCTATGAAATTCCTAACTGCGAAGCTGACTTAGCTGCGATCACATTCAGTAATAATGACGATTATAGTAGGTCATGGCGCCTTGAGAAAGAAATAAAGATTGGAAATAATAACATTAAATGGTTTAATACTTTTTTGAATTCGGATAAATTTTAATTCTGTCAAATTTCTAGCTCGATTAATTATTTATAAAACGATCATTTCACGCTATTAGTTTTTTGTTCATTTTTTTAATAAAACAATGTTCCTTAAATCTCCCAATAATTGTAAAAGCGATCTCAGGTGAAAATATTTGGTCAATGTGAGTTTCGTTAGCAAGAACTTCACCTAATTCGGTTGGACCAACTTAGACTTGAAATGGCTGGAAGATTAAGTGCAGTCAGGATCTTGAACTGTCAAGATCTTGAACTGTTACTCCCAATCTAGTTAGCCTTGCAGGTACACAGTTCTGCTCGACAAATTCAGTGGCCAGGTTATAAAGATCAAAACAAACTTACATAGCCATTAATATGTGATATTGATGTAATGATGTGATCATAACGGAGTTCATCATTCCTGAATGCCATTGATTCTGAAATTCCACGTCATTATGTTTGGAATGTTCAAAGTAAACAATAGACCAAATGAAAAAAGGGCTGTGTATTCAGAAGAGTTTATACAACTCATCCGAGTAAAATAGAGATGATCTTAAATAAGTTGATGGTTGCCCATGTCCCACATTCAAAGAAAGCACACAACATAAGATTTGTTAGAAGCCAATAGATCCTTATATGAATGTATGTATGAGGCATTACAATTCTGAATGCCTTGTGTGTTTGGCAAGAATTTGCCACACAAGAATTCCTTTATACGTTATAAAACCAATCATTGGGAGATTAACAAGTAGGCCAGGTAAGTGTTGACTATTCGTGATTTTTATAGTTCATATTATGATTTATGTAGTGTACAATTGAAAAGCCCCATTTGATTATAACGAATGTGTTCGAAATTCTGAGAAACTATAATAATTACTACAGAAATTTTTGTTCGCGTCTTGACATTTCACACACATTGTAATGTCATAAGTTTAAATTTGTCTTGCGAGTATTGCTTTATGAATTAGAATATTTTTTCGATATTTTCAATATCAATGTATTGATTTAATTAGATACTTGTTAGATCACATTTAGATTAATAA